TACTTGTGACCTCATTTTTTTTTCAAATATTATTTTTTATTTTTTCAAATATTATGGACAGCCTATTAGAAATCTATCTCAATACAATAACCTATTGACGAGCACTAAAACTTTTCGCTGATCGCATAATTATATAAGCTATAGGCTCTTTACGAAGATTGCGTAGTTTTCTTCCCACTGCTATTAAAGTTGCGCTCGCTCATTCACTACTTCTGCCGATCCTTGTCTATGCTGATATTTGCTGTCCGAAATACAGCTTAATAAACTTGAGCGGATTAAAATTTGCGCCTTCGATTCATATTTGGGCTTCGTAAATATGATCATGTTTCCGATTTTCGCACACAGCACAAGTGGCTCTTAATCCGCCTGCGCAGGAATACCCATATTCTCTCTGCTTTGTACAGCGTATTATTTAATCTCTCTATTCCTAAATACTGAAAAGATCGCTTCGAGTATCTTTCAGTACCCACCCCCATGAAAAATCCCGTCGTTTTTCTGTCAATCTCTTCTCCAAACTCCCGTACATTCCTCTTCATTCTTCCAAAAATCTTTTACAGTGACAGCTGTGCGTTTGTGGAATTCTTTGCCCCTTCACATTCGACAAGCTAAGTCTCTTCTTTCTTTTAAAAACCTAGTAAAAGCTCATTCATTACTCGTACTTGGAACTTTAAATTGATGTTTTCCTTTTTCCTATTTTTCTCAAAATCTTTGACTATCTCATTGATGTATATATTCCTTCATCCGGTGTTTACAAGTGTTCATGTGCACCTCCCTTGGCTCTCTTCTTTATGTCTCATTAGCAAAAATTCTATTCGCATTGTTTGTCTGGAAGAAATTGGTTTCTGAGCGATAAGACCGCCTATTGTACTTCCTTTTACATTCATTTTTTATTTGCTTTATATATATGTATTTTTTTTTGGTATACAATAAAGTATAAATAAATAATTACTAAACCGCTTATCAATAGGGTGACCACTCTTAACGGGATAAACAATGTTTGAAAATATTAATATTTTTTTGAATTATGGAATGCCCAATTAACATTATTTCAAAGTATGTACTTCGTATACCTTATATACTATCGTAACATTTACTCTGATAAAAGTTACGAATATGTTTACCGGACTTAATCCATTATTCTAATGAAAGAAAAAATGTCCGGGTAAGCCCACAACCTCACAGAAGACCGGCGTAAAGTGTAAGGTGAGTGAGGTAGCCAGAGCCCAATTCCCAAAAGGTTGTTAACGCATCTGGAACCCTCGAGTGTAGCAGATGTCCATGGGCGGCGGTATTCACTTAACATAAGGTGAACCGTCTGCTCGTCACCAACTTTTCACATAAAAAAATTGATTACTTCGTGATTGATTAACTTACAGAGCCGTCATAGCTCACTGTCCGGGAGTTGGCTTTTAATTCAATATACTCCAGAAACTTGAGTCCTATCCCCGGTGTCTTTACCAATGAAATTGTTAATTTTATGTGCTGACTGATAACGTGCTCTGTGGTGAAGGAAAAAATCGTCAGGAAACATGCATATTTTGGAAATAATAACAAAAAAAAAATCGAAGATATTTGAAGTCCGCCAGTCCTCAGTGGGATTGCGTGGTGGGCTGTGCGCTCATACCGTCAGTACAGAGGCCTTCGCCAAGCAGTAGGCCGTAATTATATAGGGAATTATATGTAACATAAATTTACTTAAAAGAAAAGTTGTTGCTGTTATAATCTGATTCAAATATTAGGTTACATATGAAATTAGCGTTTTGTCGTACTGACCATTTGATCTGAAATATCTCCTCTTTAGTTAAGAATTCCAAATTCAAATTTATAATTTCATTTAGCTGGTACATTTGAGTTTTGAAAACAGTCATTCATTGTTTCTTCCTCATTGTTTCTTTCTCATTATTTTATTTTTTGGCGTCGCTTATTACGGCACTATGAAAAACATGAAATATCGGCATATTTACGAGTACGGGTAGCCACGGTAGAGCGTGGCACCAGTGCTGCAGAAACAGCTTGAAGGATTAATGATGTGTACGGCGCCGGTGTCGCAAATGAAACCACGGTACGTTTTTGGTTTCAACGTTTTCGTTCTGGAAATTTCGAACTTCAGAACCAACCCCGTGGACGGCCGGAGACCAAAGTGGAAAATGAAGAATTAAAGGCTATTGTGGAAGCGGATCCATCACAAAGCTCTTCAGAGATAGCTGCAGGTTTCCAGTTCATTGATAAAACTGTGTTAATCCACTTGAAGCAAATCGGGAAAGTAAAAAATCTTGAATGGTACCTCATGAATTAAGTGAATCGAACTTGCAAAAACGCGTCGACTGCTGTTTTACTTTGCTCAACCGACACAATAATGAAGGTATTTCAAATCGAATCATTACTTGGTAAGTAGATACTCGATAATCGGAAGCGCTCGTCACAATGACTGAAACCTGGAGACCCAGCGAAATCCTGCACTAAACGAAAGTAGACTAAGAAAAAGTTACTTGTGAGTGTTTGGTGGACTAGCGCCGGTGTCGTTCACTACAGCTTTCTAAAATCTGGCCAAATGATTACGGCAGATATCTATTGTCAGCAACTGCAAACCAAGAAGGAAGAACTAGTTAGTTTAAGTTAGATGACCTACAGTTGGAATGTCTGCAACATCCACCGTACTCCCCGGACTTTACTCCAACAGATTACCATTTTTCCGGAATTTGGACAACTTCTTACATACCGCTTTCAAAGAGTTGATTGAATTTCGCCCCTATGGTTTTTTTTTATTAAAGGGATCGATGAACTACCTATGAGATGGCAAAAGTGCACAGATAACAACGGTGCATACTATTAATCCATACTAATATTATAAATGCGAAATTAACTCTGTTTGTCTGTCTTGCTTTCACGCCAAAACTACTGAACCGATTTAAATGAAATTTGGTGCACCGATAGTCTAGAGCCTAACAAAGGACATAGGCTGTTTCTTGATTATAAAATTGTGTTGTAAAAGGTTGAAAATATCTTTCTTTAAAAATATATATAGTTTTTAACTGTACACTATATATTTTCATGTAAGAGGCACATTTCATAGATTCCGTCTTTTTAGTTTAATTTTTTCCGAAGATGTTGCTAAATCTGAAATACCCAAAGTAAACCAGGTAAAGTAAATCGGGTGTTTTGCGCAAATTGATGTAAAGTAATCAAATATTGTAAAGGTTATTTCAAACATTTATTCTATTTTTTATGGGGGAAAGTGGCAACAGAGCTTTAATAAAGTGGGCCACGGCTACCTCCCTCACCCATCTACAACCCACCAAGTATTGTGGATGCAGATAGGCAGCGGACTCACATAACACCATGTAAACCAGCAGATCGCTGGCCAACTTTGGTTGGCCGTTTGTAAATATTTTTTTGTCGTCAGTTTTTAGTTTCGTTGACTCCGTGGCGCAGTTGTCAAGGTATTGGCTTCGGCGTTGGGGGTCGAGGGTTCGAATCCCATACGGGATAACTATTTATGTGACCCACAAATAGTTGTTTCGCACCTGGGTGTTTTCCGCGTGAAATTTATGTTTGTAAAACATCCTTACAATGATAATGTTATCCTAAAGTAAGGGCAATGTTTTTCCAAAAAAAAAAAAAACTAAAAAAAAAAAGAATGTTTTTAGTTACACTCAAATCTAACAAGTGAGTTCTTTTAGTCAAGTTAAAGCCTATGCAATATCACTGCGGTAAATTACACTGTCATTGTACGCATTGTCTCTTTTTTCTTGGGTAACCTAAAAGTTTATATTAGTAACGCAATGGCATCCTCTTGCAGCTTGTTCTACTTCCGCGCTCTGATAATTGCGATTTGCTGGTCGGCCAATAACATTGCGTGTCGCCCTAGACAGTATTATCAAGAGCCTGTGAAAGTTTTGCCGTTTGTTTTCAAGTTGTATAACCTACTTTCGGTAGGCTATTATTCGGCGTATCTAAGAATCGCCATGTTTGGAACGTTTCAAAGTAGTACATGTTGATATATAAAAAATATATTGTCATCCATGGAACGTTAATAAGGTCTTTGTAAACTAAGATTATTATTATTATTATTATTATCATTATTATTCCCTATTACTAAGCTGTTTGCTGTTTGTTTGTCAGTATATCTGTCTATACGTCTGTTCCTCTGTCACCAGGCTGTATCTAATGAACCGTGAGTTAGACATTTGAAAATGTCGCAGATGATGTATTTCTGTTGCCGCTATATACAATAAATACAAAAAAAAAACAGAGAAAAATATTTTAAGTTCCGGCAAATCTTTCTTACATTACTTTCCTTGACCATTTCTTCAAAACATTTGGGGTTAGTATATATAAGTCGTTGTAATTAGTAAAAAGTTCTTTTAAAAAAAGAAATAGCTTTTGGGAACGTGACGGATGGTAATGCCGTTTACCTTTTCTTAATGAAAACAGACAAGTTTATGTGTGTATTTGTTTAATCGGTTGGTGATTAACAAAATCGTTTATAGCAAAATTTATCACTGTACTTTGTCTAAAAAATTTGTCTTTAAAATTTTATTCTTAATTTGCGCAAATTGAGGTACAAATGTATGTTACTTCGAATGTTTTATCGTGGATGCCTATTGTTTTTAGCGCTTATTATTTTATATTACTTCTTTTATGACAACAAACATCATTCATTATAATAAGGGAAGTCGTAAAGAATAAAAGGCGATTTAAAAAAGAATTAACTTTATTTAGGAAAAATGCTTTAAATGATAAAAAATACTGGGAACATCTTCAATCATCAATACAGCCAATAAGCTTTAATGAGCATTAAACTTTGGTTGACAATTATAAGCATTTGGTATTAGCTAAATTGTGTACCAAACGTTAGCGTGGTAACTGAAACGAAGCGACAGTGATTAGTCTAAAAACCCGTTTAAGTTTCAAATGCCGTTGAAAATGAAGAATAAGGTATAGGTCGTACGACTTTTGAACTTGTGAAGGTTCTTATTCAATTAGCTTATCTAAACCTAATCTATGACCAGCTGACGGAAAGAGCCGTCGATGCCAAATAGCTCGTCGTAATTGGTTGGTTTCCCCGGTCTGAGGGCCTCATTGGCCTTGTAGTTCTCCTGTTCTGCGAACCAATCTTTGTATTCTTCTAGCTTCTTAACCCATGCGTCTGAAAGTGACAAATCATTTATACATCAAGTACCTCTGATGTGAGAGTGAAAAGATGTGTGAGGTAACCGGGGCCATGATTTTTAAAGTTTGTCAACGCATCAGCAAGCCATCGGGTGTTGTTAATGTCCATGTGCGGAGGTATTCATGTAACGTCAAAGTGGCAAACGAGCTGGCGGTCCACCTGATGTTAAGTAATAACCGCTACCGCACTAACCAGACGAAACGCAGAAGTGTAACACTTCTACTTTACGCCGGTCTTCTGTGTGGTCGTGGTTATTACCCAAACAGACCTGCCGATTCCTGCAACAGTGAAAACTGTTGCGTGAATACCACAGTTAGGCCTAGCCTGCTCGCGTGACAATTTTTCACTTGAAGAAATGGGTCAAGAAGACATGTTAAGATAAACACTACACTACTCTAGCTCATCTTTACTTCTACGATTGAAAGACTCGTTTGTAGGCTTAAAATAGTAGCGTAAAATAGTTGTTCTAAATAGTGGTTTGAATTTAAATTCCATTTTCAATTATTTGTTTGCCAATATTATAGCTTGAAAGAAATATTTCAGTGATATTTCGTTCTGCAGGTGAGAGTCAGACATAGAAATCTGTGTGTGACTGTCTATTTGCCTTGTATCTATTGTCCCATTTTTTATAGTTTCACTAGAGTAAAGTTATTGAATATCTGGATGGTGACAAGTTGCGTTGTATTTTCTCGCTTAAAGATTTTCAATAACTATTCCGAACGGAAGCTGTACTTTATATATAACATCATCATCTTCATGTAAAGATACTTACTGTGAAGGTCATCCATGGATCCAGCATTACCACCGTATTCAGCCGGTAGCATTTCTTTAGGAACATACTTGTACAGCTCATTCGTGTCAGAGTGAAGGAAAATCTAGTAAAGAAAAAAAATTTTAATCAAAATTAAAGTAATAGGAACGTATATTATTAAAGTAAAAATAAGTTTAGTGTTGTGCTGCTAGTTATCTACGTCTACTTCTTGTCTTTAAACAAAAAGTAATACAAACAATAATGTTTACATGATTAATCTTTTTATTTAGTTTTTTGTTTTTTAATTATTTAGTTTTTCATTAATAGTTCTTCATGTTATTTATAAATTTTCCTAACATCAAAGACTATAAATTCTAATACAGTGAAATTCACTTCTGTATATAGTTTATATGTTTTTATATTTTTTTGATGTGAGAAAGTGACAAGCGAGCTGGTGGATGTTAAATGATATTCGCCGCTCATTGACACTTGCAACACTGGTAGGGTTGCAAATGCGTTGCCACCTTTTAATGGGTCAAGTGTATTAGAATTTATACTATTTATGTTTTATATCAGCGTAGATTATAAACACTTCGTGTTTATGTTCTTATAATATAAGGTATGCAATTACTTTCTTAAAGGCGAGAACTTACCCTTTCCCGGATCTTTTCCTTAATGAACGGCTTGACAAAGTTTACAATTTTGTCTACCAGGGGCGAGACGTTAATGACGTGGATTTGCTTCAATTTCACGGGATACGCCTCCTGAAAATTAAACAAAAATAATTTAAGGAATGCTAGTGGAGCTTTTTATATTGGGTATGGGTTTAGTGACGTTTTGTGTGATATAGCTATATATATGTCAGCTTTTAAATTTTTTGACGAATAGAATTTGTATTTCAACCGATTTCAAAAAAGGACGTTCTCAATCGTCTTTTATTTTTGGTTACCTCAGAACTCTGCCATTAATGAATCAATTTCAAAAAATATTTTTTCATTGGTTTCGGTTTAGCACCCATGTGCCAACGCCTCAAAATGAAATAAATAATAAACAGTAAGTACCACATTTCTTTTTTGTTAATAAGACTGTACTTGTTATATAGTATCTGGGACTGGAATAGAGGACAATATTCCACCTTGTATTATAATTACGCACCTGTACGCAGACTAGGAACTTCTTGACAATGGTCGGTGTGAATTTAGCGAAGTGAGTGGGAGTTGCAACAGAGGCGTCCAAAATGTAAATGTCTCCAGCTACGCCTTCTTTCTCCTCTGCCAATCTGACGTCACCCAGCATAAGGGCAAGTTTGAAGGCGTCCGCAACGTTTGGTGTCTGGGCTTCTTTGTCGATTCCTGCACAGAATAATGATTTGTGTTGAACGCGTTAGACTGAAGAATCTCAGTGCAGTAAGTAATACAAATACAAGTTCTACCATTTAAAGCCCAAACGGGGTAAATACAAATAGAGTGCTTTGAATGATTTATTTAAGTTCCCAATTATAACGAGCATCATGCTGTATACGGGATGTAATTGCGAATAAACAAATTTTTGCACATAAGAAATTCAAAATATGGCATCATAATTGGAGATCAACATTCAGATTTGAATCTACGATCTCAAATCGCAAGTGCACTTCCCAGCCAATAATGTACTCCATAATCTAAGGAAATCTCAAAGGAACATTTTACAAAAGTTTTAAAAATGCGAGAACTGCCATAGAATATAAAATAATTTTGCAGTAAATTATTAATAAATTAGGAAATCAGATAGACATATTTTGAATAATTGATGGGTTAAAATACATGACAGAGTCATTCTTTGAGCTAAATTAAAAATCTAAATAAGGTACAATCGTAGAATATTATGCAGACAAAAGATAAATCATTAAATAAAATGATGATTGTTTTCACTTTCACAAAATCAATTTAAAACAATGGTTACACTAATCTTAAAAGTAGTATGCAAATTATGCTAGGAACCGACTTACTCTTTTAATATTATTTAACTAAATATTATTTTGCGGATAGTGGTGTAGGTTATGCGTTTTATTTTATTCTGTTTTATTTATAAGTATTTTATGTCCCAATAAATTAAAAAAAGTTTTGTACCTCTCATAAGGATAACTCTTCGGCCATCAGGTGTGAGCCCAGGTAGGGGAGGCATTTGGCTGTAAAACAAGTTACGAATAACGCATTAACACACTAGGGAATTGTTATTGAATCTATATATTACATTGTTGATATATTAGTAAAACTTATTATGTTAAAATTGATTTCCGAGGCTTAAGAAGTTTTTATAATTTTTTCTATTTTAATGTGCGATCGTAGTCTTATGACTTTTATTATTTTGTACGAAACAGGCACTCAATTGCAGTCGTTAGATAGAAGTTTAATGAAAGTAATAAAACGATTAATGTAGACTCATTACCGTAAGGTTTATTGTTACTAATTATTTATAAAAGGAAAATCATTGTGAGATATTTCGCAGTTATAGATAATTAACAAGACTACTTTATCCGTGATTTGATGATACCGCTACCATTATTTATATACATAAAATATTGAAGATAGTGGATATTTTGTCAGAAGGCCAGCTTGAAAATAATAATAACAATAAGATTATTAAAGCCGATGTTGTTAATGAACGATTTTGACAGCATAAAGTTTTATTCTTAAGATTAACTGTAAAAATAAAGTTTAAGTGGGACTTTAAATACACAATAGAGCTTAAACTAAAGACGCATTTAATAAAATTGTTTTCTAACCAGTACTTGACTATTAAAATATGTATGTTTTAATGTTCAATCTTAAGTGCAAAGATTCGCACTATAAATAATTAAAATTTCCAGTACTTGACTTCCATTCCACTTCTATTTCATTGAATATTAATTTAAGATGAAAAATATGAAAATCTGTTGTTTGTATTGGCGCTTATTGAAAATGTATTTTTGCATTGAATATTTAATAATTTATCAAATTTTTACATTGTAACCGGTTCTTAATACGCCTGCAGATCTGCAAATTAATCAGATGACTTCAGACAGGTTAAGCAACCAACAACAAGTTCAAACTGTATTGATTTAAAAAAGGCAAAATATAAACTTACACCATGTCCAAAATTTCTTTCAGCTCGGGACGCGTGACGTCACGGTTGTCAAAGAACTCTGGCACAGCAGCACGCATTGTGAAGTACATGTCCAGCTTACGCTTGGTCTTTTCCAAAGAAAACTTGCAACCCCTCAGGAAGGTCATAATGCGTTGATCATCTGACAAGAGTAAGTTAGTATAATAATATCATTATTGATTTCTTATCCAAATACATTGATTTGAACTTTTGATAGCTTCTGTGAACCTAGTTATGTGAATTCAAGTAAATGTTATTAGATATCAGTTTCTATAAAATTCTTATTACGATGGTTTTTTTTGATGTCACATTACTGATATGTTACAATTACTATTACTAGTTGTTATGATGGCATGGAGAACAATAACAGTCTAGTGAAACTGGACTGAAGATAGATACAAAAGAAAGGTAAGGAAAATCTAAGTTCTGCAAAAACATAGAAAAAAATAGATGAGGAAATATTTGGGACTTTACTACTTACCGAACTCGTCGGGTAGATGAGGTTCCTTTTTGAGCCACTCTTTGATATGTGCCAAGTCTTGGTCTTTGGTGTCGGGCTTCTCATTTAGCTCCTCGCGGATCTTCTGCCACATCTCACCAGATGGCTGCTCCAGAGTCATTTTTGTATCGTTGATTGGCCCTGTAATCAGATGTATACAACATTGTCACAAATTCATTATGCAACATGTCACCAAATATTGATTTTGTTTGTGTTAATGAACTAAATTTCGTTATTTTGCTTTACCACGATTATTATATTTACAGACTATTCAAATGTTGTAAAAATATTATAAATCTAAAAATCTGTAGTACTAAAAGTTAATACTGAGACTTTCTTATACTCGCTTCTAGCTTGCGCCGAAATGTAATTTTTTTTAACTTGCTATTAAAAATGTAATAAAAAGCTTGTGAGAATCGTCTGGTACGATAGCACAGCACATAAATTATTATCTCTAATTTTCCTCGTCCTTGTATAAGTTACACGTAAATTGAAATATGTATCTAATCAATAAAATCAAGAACACCTTTGTGAACCGGGCCTTATCGCCTTAGGCCTAATGCAATCTTTAAATGCATCCAGTTCTGTGTAGATAAAGTTTATTGTTATGTCTTTATCGTGCATCCGATACATGTTATGGAATTATAAGGCAGTTTCGAAACACATTTACTACTAGTTACGACAGGATCTTCACGGTATTTGGCTCTTGGCACGCACATACTAACGCACCGGTGCTTCTGATGTAAGATGTCATTAATTTGCGTTTAATGAAAGAGTTTCCGTAACGTTGACTAATTTGTCACGGTCCTCGGTCAAGACAATATCGCCTCGTGTTTGTTTTAGTCCAATAGAAAGAAAAGTATTCATTTCTGTTTGGTGAATATTATATAAAAAAAGGAAGTCTGCTTATTTAGTAATTTAATTTGCATAACACTGTTTTTCAACTTTCGCTTAGCGAATTCATTTTAAATTAATTAATCCTTTACCATCTATATCAACATTTATGTATACCATTATCGCGTATGAACACAAACACATATGATACACATGACGTATCATATTCAGACATAATCGCATATATCTATAAAGTATATGCAATGTACGTTTTTGTAGTTAAGGAAATACCTGTTTTTAAGGGAATAGTTGATTTTCTTTATTTTATATATTACTAGCTGCTGCCCGCGACTACGTCTGCGTTGAGGTGTGAAAATTTAGGGTTGTATTTTTATTCATAAAAAATAAAATAAAAATTATATAAAAATAAAAATAAAAATTTAACCCTTAACATTTGGGGGATGAAAAATACATGTTGTCTGATTCTCCACCCTGGCCGATATGCACCCAAAATTTCACGAAAATCGGTCAAGCCGTTTCGGAGGAGTTCAATAACATACACCTTGCCACGAGAATTTTATATATTAGATAGTACGACTTAAAGCTGAAACGTCATTGAATGAAGATGCCTTCCACTTGCCTGCTTGTATTCATTCTCGACATTTCTTTGGTTAAATTGCTCTATGATAATCAAATTTCATTTGCAACTCATGTTACCCCGAAATTCGGTGTAACAATTCGGTGTGTGTCGACTTTCGTTTATCGTAATACCCGACGAGTTTCGCTGCCCACTCGGTGGAACGGTCTTCGTGCGGTTTTATTGCGTTTTCAGCATCAGGCAAGCTTTCACTGCAATACTATTAGGCAGCGCCTTTCTAACGCGCTTACGTGACTGTGCACAGGCCATTAAAGTGTGTGGTTTTTTCGAAGAAAATCGACAAGGAGCATGCCTCCGTTAATATACATTTGGTGTAGATGGATCAAAACGATCCCTCGAACTAAACACGCTTAGCCACTTTTGGGGGGCGTTTAAGCTCAGACTACAAAGTCTTCTTTGGGAGGTGTTTAGGCTCAGGATGAGCTAAACACCTCCCAAATGCAGTTGCATGAAATGTATCGACTGCTTTGCTATATATCATTCCAAATAGTTAGGTTCTATTTCGTTTTCGACCACGGACATTTTGATCAGGCTTTATGTAAATACATATAGCCTGATACAAATTAACAATACAATATTTACATTAATGGAACAGAATTAATTGTTAATTTTATTTTTATTGTTAGGCTTCGCACTCTCGATGACATTTGAACGCGTAACCCGGAATACGGGATTTAAATTCCACAGTGTCGAAAATCTTGCTTTTATCTTGCGTGTTCGACAATAATTGTTCCGCCGTAGACCTTTGATAAAGGACTGCTATTGATCTAAGACCTTAATTGATTTGGCATAGATAGATTCTATTATCATAAACTTGGACGTTCACCTGCACTGGACTTTCTTTTTAAAAATTGGTTTAGGGAATATTAGGGGAATTTGGTTCTTATATGGATATAAGGAACGATTACAGCTAGTTCTACAAGTTGATTAGATCTTTCCGTATATCGTCACCAATATCTTAATGACAACATGAAATCATCCCGTACCGTGAATGATATTGCGCATCGAATTAAATGGTTTTCTCTAATTATTGTAATTATTTTATCTCATTTTTGTTTTAAAAATTTAAAAAATAATTAGATGCTATCGCAGTTGTTACTGCAACGAATGTGTGTATGCTTTCACCATTTATTTAATTGTCTCGGTCATGGTACTATTTTAGATATTTTATAATTGACATTCACATTAATATCTCATAAATATCTAAACATTAAGTTTTCTTGCACTTTTCTTGCCTTCTCTTGTCTTGTTATATTAATATGTTTTCTGTATGTTTCTTTCAGGTTTTGTTAATAACTGCTTTATGGAATTTGTTACTAACTTACTCGAATAATTGAGTCACAGTACTTTCGAGATAGTGAAGGAAATGTGGTTGTTATTATCCAAATCTTATATTAAAAATTGCGCCGACTAATGGTTTCTAAAAAGATGAAAAAGAAATCATTGTTGCGTTTCTATTGCTTTTGCTTACAAAAGCCTTTTTGGCTAATCGAAAGTTGACGAGATTTTGATGAGTATGCCCTAACAAAATGTTCAGTTTTCGGTATACCAATTGTGCAAATTAAAAAATACTACCTACTGCGCATTGGCGTACTTTGATCAAAATTTTTCCTATTATTATTTCGGGAAATATTTAGCTTTTCTTACTTTGTTTTCCTTCACCAACGAGCACAAGGTCAGCACTTAAATTGCATGTAACAATTTCATCGATGCCGGATTCAAGCTTGGGGTTGTTCGAGTTGTGCATTGAATTAAAATCGAGGCGCCAGGACTTTGATTTTAATTAGGATCTCCCCAATACTTAAATTATTCTCGTATTGTATAGAAATTGTTGACTTATACTTGGTCCTTCGCAAACTGGATGGGACAACTTTGTTAATTTTTTTTAATAAAATATTTGCACACTGAATCAGGATCCAGTGTCGTAAAAATTTCGCAATGGTTCAATAAAGTTTCAACAATAATCCACGGATCAAATTGTCATGATATTGAAAAGGCCAAAAGTCACATGAGGTCAACGACAGCTCATGGCAGTGACATGAGATTAAGCATTATCTCTGTTACAACAAAGTCGATTTCTAGGCGCTAAAATCAACTCCATGATTAAGTAAATTGAATACTTATGGCTAAAACGATATTTAATGTAAAAAAAGAAAATAGGTGAGCAGAGTGTTTAAAATTAAGAAATTGCGATAAATAACAGCCAATTTGTATTTTTTAGTAGTTTGTCAAATTTCTTCTTGTGGTTTTGTAATTGTTTGCCTTATAGTTTGTTTAAAGTAAAATAAGCCGTAAAATAAAATTATCTAAAAATTTTAAGTAAATAATACACTGAACAAATAGCTCGAATAATTGGTAACGTTATAAAAATACACATATTTACATAAATTTTACGTTGTAACGCGATGAGTCTTTAAAAACGGTTTTTTTTTTCTCATGCATTTGTAACTTAATGGTATGCGATTACCTTATTGACATTAAAATAATCATTAAAGTTTATATTATACCCAAATGTTTTATACTCAAAATGAATATAGTATTTCAATTCATAATTCGAATGATCTGCATTTGATGATTTTATTACCCGTAAGTTAGAATACTGTTTGGAACTAAAGGCTGAACTAAAAACTAAGGCCTCTTATAAGAGATGTTAATCAAAAGAAAGGCTTCGAATGATTCATGACCTAAATATGAAAAATACACTGCGAAATCGTAAAATAAAAATCCATCACGTTCACCATTACCTTTCTAAATAATTGCATCCAACTTAACGGTACGCTGTACCGCTAAGTTTTATGCGTAACGGTTGGACCTTATGGCCATACACTAGGGACTATTTTGGAATGTCGCGTAGCATACCATTTTGGACACTAAGTAATGGCATACAATAACACAGTACGGAAGTCACGTTCGAAGCGGAGGCGTGCTCTGTTTTATTTCTCTCTGAATATTTTTCTTTGATCGTCGCGGTGAGACGGTAAAGATGACTTGATTTATAAATGCACTAGCGGCCCCGACAGACGTTGTCCTGTACACACGACTTAAATCCGACAATTCGATCGATCCGCAAATTATAAACAAAAAAATTAAAAAAACGATTATAGTGAACAGAATAGGGAATCTTAACCATTCTCGAATCTAATTGAAGACACAAAAAATTTCATTAAAATCTGTCCAGCGGCTTAGGTGGAGTTCAGTGACATACACACGAACAGAAGAATTATATGGAAACATGTGCAAAATATAATCTATATCTCGTTCTTGAAGGACTGAATTTTTAGAATAACCTACAAGAGTACTTATCGACAATTTATCGATTGTCACGTTTTTGGGCTTAATAAGCTATCACTGTTCAGCCGACAAGTATTAATGGTGTGAATTGTGTTCTCTGTTGTGTCAGCTACACTTTATTTTGAGATACACTTTTTCCCTGATACTTAGCAGTGGCAACAGATCCTTTCATTTGTGTTATAAGGAGACATTATACTTTGTCATTTTAAGAAAGTAAAGTAAGAGTGTGTTAATGAAAGTTTTAAATGGAGGCCAGTCATAACGCCCCGTTGTGGCTTGGTGGGTTTACTATACTAAGTGTTTCCTTTCCCCTGCTTAATATGGACTTAAGTTGTTTA